AGTTACTTGTCAAGCGACACCCTCACCGTGCCTAGTCGCTCTGCCTTAAAAGAGGCTATTGCAGCACACAAAAAAGCTCGTCTTGCCCCGGCCAAGACTTTGCCTCCACGACCGGAATCAGCCCAGTCGTCGTTTGGTGAAACGAAGGCCTCTGATCCCCCGGCGAAGTCTACTGGGCGCACCGCTCGGGCACCTCTTTCTTCACTTTCTTCGGCGCCTATGCGACCTGGTGCTAAACCCCGTCGACCCGAGTTGGCACGACCCGCGACTGCCGATCCATATTCTTCTCGCAAAACCACCGCCACAGATACCGTTCACATTGACAGCTCGCCAAGACCTAAGAGGGTAGCAAACCTGGGACAGGCACCCAGCTCAACGAAGAGCAAGCCCAAGAAACTCGATATTCCCATGACCATGGCCGTCGACCCAGTTGCACCTAGCGCAAGCAACGAAAATGAGACCCAGGTGACTAGTAAGGTTAGAAAGCGTTCCAGCTTGTCTGAACAATTCGCTGCTATCAAGAGAGGTATTCGGGCCAGAACATCCCCCAAAACAACGCCCAAGACATCTCCCGAAACATCTCCCCAGTTATCCCCTCAAACACCCCCTAATGAGCCAGATGATCGCGATTTAAATGCCCTGGGCGAATTATCTATCAGTAAGACTGAATATCCTGATGAAATTGCCTTGGGCGAATCGTCCAACAATGAACCAGATCGTCACGATGATCATGCACCGAGCGAAATATCTATCGATAAACTAGATGGTCGCGATGAAAATACACTGAGTGAAACACCTACCACTGGCCCAGATCTTCGCGACGAAAATACACTGAGCGAATCACCTATCCCTGGTCCAGATCGTCGCGATGAAACTGCCCTGGGCGAGTTATCTATCAACAAATCACAGCGTCGCGAGGAGAATGCCCTAGGCGAATTATCTATCAATAAAACACAACGTCGCGAGGAGAATGCCCTGGGCGAATTATCTATCAATAAACTAGATCGTCGCGAGGAAAATGCGCCAAGCAAATCTCCTCCGAGTGAACCAGATAGTCGCGTTGAGAAAACGATTGACTCTGTTGAACATACATCTCAACCCCACCGACGTGTTGAAGAATCCGAGCCTTTTTTTGCGCGCTTCAAGATCCGGAGTCGCCAGAGCAACAAACGAAGGAACATCAGTCCACATTCAGAACAGCTAGAAAACGCAAAAGAGATGGTCCGAGTTGCGGGCCAACGAATCCGCTCCAGGTCATTCGACCTATTTGCATACCGAAAACTACAAGACCTTATTCATTATCATGGAGAGAAACTCTTCACTCGGCCAGTTTTCGATGATTTGCTCGACGGACTGTTGGTGGAGCTGCGCAAAGAACCGAGTCCAGATAGGAAACACAATGGCGACTACGCAGACGTGAAGACCCAGGTCGTTGGTACCCTTCGTCTGTTGGAAAAGAGCTGCCCGAACTTGTTTGTGATTGATTACGACGCAATAGACGCCATCTTTCATGCGAGAAGATACTTCGAAACCAACTCTTGGATTGTTCAAGAACTCCAGCAAACCGCGTTGGAGTGGTTTCGTAACTGCGAGCCATCAGGGCTCGAAGGCATGCTTGATACACTTGTCCAATATGTACAACGTGAGACGCGGGACGAACCGGGATATCGGTCCATCCTTATGGCCCTCTCTCTACTTACTGACCTGATTGGGGACGCGAACAAGAAAGGGGCTTGGTTCTCGAATGAGATCTTGGAACAGGTTGGGACGATAGCAGCAAGGGATATCCTAGCCGAAGACACCGACATAAGAAAGAAGTCTATCGAACTCTGTGTCCAACTATATGTGATGTCTACTAACCTGTATCAAGACAAGGGGGTATCTTTCTGGAGACTGGTGAAAGCCCCCGAGGGGGGGACCCGGCAATTGATAATGTACTACATAGCCAGGCAGTAGGCTTTGTATGTATTCCGATAGCTGTATTAATTAAATCAAAATAATTTCTTCAAAGGAGCTGCCTATATGCGATTACTTCGGTCATATGGGTATCGTACATCTATGATATAATCAATAATCAGACAAGTACCCCAAAGGGACTCTTGACTGGGAAATCCAAATATTAGACGGTGACGAGAGCAGCGACGTCCGACTGGAATGATAATCCGGGACAACGGACGAGTATTCACCAGTCGGCATGTCCTCGCTCATCACGTTCGATACCATCGATGTCCTTGACACTTCCCGAAGAACAGTCTCCTCACGATCCAACAGCATTGACTGCGATGATAGATTGCTCTGCTGAATATCCTCAAATGCAGGCACCTGATCAACACCCGCGTTCTTTCCGTTAATCCTTATCTCCAGGCCATCAATAGTCCCTATTTCCGACAACGTTTCATTCTTCCGGAATCCATAACGAAAGAGCGGGCCCTCCCCGCGGAACACTTGGTTATCGGATTTATCCAACCTCCTCCGGTCCGCTTCTGTTAGCTTCCGTCTCTTGCCAAATTGTGCCACCTCTTCCAGTGGTGGGAAGGTCATCTTTAATGGACGCGCAGCCGAGATAGCAGCCCAGTCTGTCTTTGCCAAGAGTTGATGTTTAATGCTCTCTAAACGAATGGATTCTTTCGAGGATCGATAGTTTGGTGATAAAGATGCTAAGGTCGTAGGGGACTGTGTATGAAACGTTATATTGGTTCAATACTTTTGCAAATTCCCAGATATGTAGACTTACCTGCTTCTGATGACTGGCCTGGTTGTCCTTGTCATTGGATGTATGCCTATCAGGGTCTTGAGCCTTGGTTTGCCTGAACTTGTGAAATAGAGTCACTTGTTGTGAACCTTGAGCTGGTTTTCTAGTAGCTTGTCTTTTCTGTTTGTGTTTGGGTGCGTTGGTGGTGGAATGCCGGTGGAGACGACCTCCTGTCCAGTTCATGGTCTTCAGGGTTTGATTGTAGCATGGTATGGTGGATTGTGTAGATGGGATGTCTCCCTTTGAAAGGATGAATGTGTGGAAGTGTCGGAAGAAGTGTATAGTACATTCTATCATGTGATTATTGGAGAACGTTGATGGTCTTTTGGTTTGGTCACGAGGCCGGCTACTCTATATAGAACGGTAATGATAGTTCTGGGTTGGTGGGCAGTAGTAATGACCGTCTTTACAACGATTTAGCACCCGTTTCTTGCGTAACTAGATCTCTATGGCATCGAAAAAGCACCTCACGGACTTGCTCTCTATAGACTAGTCGGGCTTTACAATCGTTGCTGAGCAGATCTACTCGTACCAAGGAGTTAGTTCAGCGTGATATATATATGCGATAGATTAAAGTGGCTGTGGGCACCGCTATGCGTGATATAAACCAGATTATGTGGAGATGGTCTGAAGGACAATGACTGTGTGATTGATGTGTGTGAAAGTTGACCTGTCACTCCCACAATTGTTTATATTGGGATATTTACATACATGACATATATTACCCAAGGTCATCTGTCTATTGAGTGGCTCTGTCTGCATATTCATAAGTTATGCCCTGGAATAAGTGGTGGTCGGAAACAGAAATGTTAAATGTAGTCCAGAATGGGTCCGGGTGGTAGTAATCCCGTATTTTACGTCTATCAGGTATCGCATGAATAAAAAGATAAAAGACAGTTGACCTCGTTGGACCTATCACAGCATATCCTCCCGTCCTTCTCTTATGAAGATAACTATGCCCAGTGCCTTTTATTGGGGATAGACTTGGAGACGAACAGAGAGCACACGTCTTCATAGGCTGGTGGCATTTATTCCCCATATATATATATATATAATACGGACCGTGTTGTGACTAAATTTGATGCCAGTGTCATATTACTGAGTCCCTAGTCTTCCAAACGGAACGAAAGTACGTGAGCCCTCCTATGGCCCGGTTCAAGGTTCCAGCTCAGGTGGAAATAAGTAGTGGGTGTATAAGTTTATCCCAGCTTGTATGATATGGGATAGGGACGAGAATCATGATCCACTCAACAGAAAACGATTCAACAATCCTGAACTGGCTGAGGTGATTATACCAGACAGACTTGATGGCTTTTGGATTACGGCAGGTCTTAGTCCTACACGTGAAGAAGTAGTGTGTTCGAGTTTGATGGTACATGAAGGCATGTCTAGGGCTTGAGAAGTATACGTTGGACGTTTAAAAATAGCTTGGTCTATAGTTTGAATCCGATAAATATAAAATATCTACCAGCGTGGGTAGTGTAACGGTTATCATCCTTGCCTTCCAAGCAAGGGACCCGGGTTCGACTCCCGGCCCACGCATTTATTTTTGTCTTGCTTTTTGTTTGTGCATTTTCCACTACGTACTGCACCATCAGAGCTGTGCTAGAACGGTAGGGTCTTGGAATTGAATTGAATGCATCCTCAATCCGCTACCAGTTACCCGCTGATAACATGGCCAACCGCTAGATATCCAAATATGCGGAAGTCAGGAATGTGTTCTGAAAGGACCATCACATATATATCATTGAACAATTCTGTCTCTGGTTATAAGCAGCAGTATTCAAGGTGTTCCAGGGGTATAGATTAATAACGTGCCGGCCTTTCTCCTGATGATCTTGTAGATGTGCTGGAATCGATAGGGTTATGTTATGTATCATGTACTGTCTACCACCTCGCAAAGGATTCTATAAGCGGTCCAGAACATACCAAATAGATATATTCCATGCAATACAGTAAGTAACAAGAAACCCCTGGAGACTATGTCCAAGTTTTCTATAGTTTTAAGGAAGGGTGGAAACACAGCGTTGTCAAATAGTCGGAATCAGTATTGATAATGCTGCAATTAGTACAGACTGCTTACGGCTTTCCAGATACTATCCTACGGAGGAAGGCGTTTTTATCCTGCAACATTTGGGTATGGTATCGGACTTGTTCTATCTAGCGCACAGGTTCTTGGATCAGTTCTGGTGTAAGGTAAAAAAAGAGAGAAAGAAGCAGATAAGAAAAAAACCACGACAAAAAAAGATGCGTGGGCCGGGAGTCGAACCCGGGTCCCTTGCTTGGAAGGCAAGGATGATAACCGTTACACTACCCACGCTATTGCTTGATGAATAATCTGATATTTTACAAAACAAAATCCCTTTCTTAGAAATACTCCGTATATCCACCAGCTATTTTCCTTCCAACAACATAGCAGAGGTGTATCTACGATGTTTTGGTGCCCTTTAACTTTCCCTTAGATACGAGTTTTCTTTCTAAGCCTAGTTCCTACTACTGTCATAAGCTCTTCTCGCTGAGCGCAATATCACATTACTTTACAGGACCTTGATATTCAATCGGCAGTAGAGACCTAAATATATGCACGAATGATATGCGCCGTCAGCAAGGGACCCGAGCTACCTGTGCAGAAGAATAGCCCTTACTTGCTACGTTGGGTATAACTCACACGGCTCTTTTCTCAATGAGTAGGATATATTTAATCGGTGCATGACTTCAGATTGCTGTGGCAATATCAATATATTATGATTATTGTTTAGATGGCTACAGCAAGGGCTGATGGTGGACACTCATCCACGCACTATCGTGCTGTAAATGATGAGAAACAACAAGATCAACATATACTCCGTCATATAGCATATCTGCGAGATATACATGCAGCCCGCTTGGCCTGCAGTGGCCTAAAGACCTTAAATTTAGTTCGCTGTCGCCCGAGACCACGATGGGAGTAGTGTACAGCACCTAGCCATGGAAGGACATAGCGGCACGGCCCGGGCGATGACCCGAATGGTCGCTAGCCAGCGGCCAGCCACGCGACTTATTCCGAGTAGGGCTCGGGCAGCCGGGCTGACCATGTGGAGATACAAACAGTGCAAAACATCTACAGTCACATGACCCCTCGCTTGGACTATTTTACGCACGCTGAACCTCCCCTGTTCTCTTCCTTCCGACACATTTTCTTTCAACACCAACACCAACACCAGTCTTTACGCCGGGTCTGGATTGCGTCTGCCTTGATGTTGGCAGAGCTTTGACACCCTGGCTGAGACAATGTGAGAGGCTCGATTCAATAATTGATCATTATTTGGCCTCCTGAAAAATTAAAATTAATTAAAATAAAAATAGGTGAGCGATTAATTTTTTTTCCCTTTTTCTTTTTTTCTTTTTTCCCCCTTGTCACTATTTGATACAACAGCGGAGACATGGAAACCTCGTTTTTCCCCCTTTTCCTTTTATGATGATCACCATAAGTTATAAGCATAGTTCACCTGAGGTCTTCGGACCGTTGAACGACAACCTTATACCATCTTTCACCTTTGTCTGATATTGTCTCTGCCTGTCATTGCATTCTTACTTTCATTGTTTTCTAAGTTTGAAGCTAATGACTGACTGAATGGAATATTATAGAAGATAGTAGACCACCAATATGATAAATTCCATGGCTAGGCTACATCCTAAACAATCAAATAAAATGATTCAGCTCTCATAAGGTTCCCAATGGCTCCGATTATTATCTTCTGGTAGACGCATTGCTGCCCAAGGTGGGCTTGATGGGGCAGCCCATTGGCGAACCCACTAGTAGTCGAAGTGTAAAGAAGGTAATGGCTAGTAGTGACACATTGTATGTGTGTGAAATAAGCAAAAAAACAGAGCAAATAATCATGGCAAGCCCCCTTTTTACTGTGTTGTCATGAAACAGGAACCCCTCTCCCTGTCATCCGACGTACTTTCGTTCTCATCCAGTCCATAAATGAAGCATGTTGGCACAGACGCGCTGCAAGATGAAGTCGCAAAGTGTCAGACAGGGTGAGAGGAGGGGTTCATTGGTATCGCAACCCCTCCTCTCCGCAGTGACATGCAGGTGAGCAACATCTTTTCATGTTCCCCGATGGGATGGAGGGGTTTGACGTGGTAGGGCTCACAGCCAAACGATGGGATGGGAGTCAAGTGCAACTTTCACGAGGCAGAAGTGGATCCCCAATAGGGGAGCCGTAAAACAATATGGGAGGGGAGTGGGGGAAGGATGATAGGCGTAGAAGAGCGCGAGATATACCTGCAGGATTGGGTTCTGGCGAACGCCTTTTTTAGTCGCGGGAGGGAGATTGACCTCCAATGATGCAATGGACGGGATGAGGACCCCTTTTTAAGGCCAATAAACGAACGGGCCGAAGTGGGACCCGCTTCACCGCCAGATTGGGCAAGTACCGTTAATGGACCACGGGAAAGAGGATCCTTCGTCCCACTGCCACGTCAAGTCTCCGTTATTGGTCGGCTCAACACCGTCGCATGTTGCACCACCATCACCGCCATGTCGCGCAGCACCAAATCATCGCCCGCCATCCGCCTAGTGAGGCGCCGCTACTGCTGCAGAATGCGAGTCCGTCACGCCGCTCGGACGCTGCGAATCCACCCCACGCTTGCCATTTTTCTCCCTCCAAAGCATCTAAAAAGCCGTCATTCCCCCCTCCGGATCCAATTCTTTCTCGATCTCTTCTATTCCTACTTCAGACATCATTCAGTCTTCCAACAAAAGAAACCATTCCCAGGACAGAAACGAAACCAAGGATTCAGGAGAATTCTTAACCTTAACTTTGATTTTTTTTTGTTTTGACAAGAGATACCCCCTAACGTCACTCCACTTTTCTACTTTCATATATACATACATCCGTCTCCATACATACAATACCTCCCTCCACTATACTCCTTTCGTGCTTGATTTGTCACAGTCAAATCAGCTGATCCCCTTTCCATACTCCCACACATCCCACAACTACTCTGCCGAAGGCCTCTTGTTGCTTTTTTCTTTTCTCTGCTTCTCTTCTCCAGTCCAATCCGTGGAGCTTGGAATTCAGAAGAAAAAGAACCTCCCTCTGGTCTACCATACAACCCATTGGATCTTAGTCCATTCTCCAGGATAGGACTTGCCTAGTTTGTGCTTTGTGTCTTCACTCCCAGGCTTTTTGGTCTGAGCAGTCATCGACAAATAACAGGTAGTCCCCTTGATTTTTCCTTTGTGTTCTTGTTTTTGCTTTTGCATTTCCTTTCTATGTCTCGCATCTCGACAAATCACCCTGGACGACCGACTGTGGACGACCCGTGTTATATCGTATTACCGGACTTGCTGGATTCCTGATTTGCTTTATCTACATTGCCGTGCTGGACACTTGCCCCGTCTTTCAATGACGGTAACTTGAATAATGATGACCATGGAAACAATTTTTGTCCCAGCGCCCGCTGTGAGACTGGACACTTTGAGTGTTGTTTAATGTTGCACACTCAACTCCACTTGGATTCTTTTATACCGTTCCTGGACCCGTGGACCCTCTTCCTCCACCCGGAGAAGAGAATTGGATTATATTGGCCTTGGATACCCCCCTGGACTTTAATGAAACCATCTTGGACATGACCCACCGCCCTGAGGAATTTATAATGTATACAGCCTTGACCTGCCCTGGACCACAATGCTCTAATCGCACCACCCTGGATGAATCAATGTTTGCTGGAATTGATGAACACCTGAGAGATTGACGGCACCAATGGAGACAGAACCTCGCGCCTAATAATGTCTTCACCTTTACTCCACCTTGCTCAGGTCTTGTAGTCTTCTGGACTAATACTCAATGGATTTTGCTGGTCATCGAAATCTCTGAAGGATCACTACACGGCGTGTAGCTCGGATGCGTTGTGGACCCCCATGTCGCTGTGCTTTTACTGTCGCTTCTTGTCTGGCCATTGTGTGTATAGTTGCCTGGATTATCACGTCACTTAGCCTGGACCATAGTGATAGTATTAATGGATCATATGTTCTTTGGTTGGTACTTTCGATGATTCTCAGGCAATCGTTCAGTCAACTAACCGATTCTTAGGACGTCAATCCCCTTTGGATCGCGGACATGTTTTTCATTAATGTCAATGATTATGTTTCAGAAATGCAAAGATTTATTTACTGACATACAGTTCTTTCTTTAGTGCTTGCTATTACTTCCCAGCTAAGCTGGATCTCAAATATATCACAATGCCTTGCCACATCAAGAACGACCCAGAACAGGTTTCTTTGTCCCAGTCAGCGTTGAAAAACATGGACCACATCTCTCTACCCAGGCATACCGATTTAATCCCAGGAATCTCAAACATGGCCTCCAGATCGATCCAGGATGATGACCTTTCAAGCCAGGACAATTTCTCTTTGTGCTCCAGTACACATCAAAGCCATGGAACTCCCCACGGACTGCCGTCATGGGCTTTGGGCGATGTGGACTCACTAGACAATGGTGTCATCCCATCCACCAAGCCAGAATCTCCAGAAGTACAGATGTTGTCGTTCAATTTGTCCCATCAATTAATGCCTTCCACCGTGGGCCCCACTGATGTAATGTATCACACCGGATCTGAATACCCAGGCTTTCATGACAATGACCTGGATCTCACACATCCCCAAGATTTCAACCCATACTCCATGATGGATTTGACTGCTTATGATGATGTCTCCGGCCAAAGCGGGAACCAGTCCTGCACTGATGATGCGCTGTCTAGCCACAGCTCTCACACAGACGACAGCCACCTGGCTGCTAGCGATGCTTGGAATTCCATGGTGACAGATACCAGAAACTACCACGGATCACCACTTGAACAATTTTCTTCCAGCATGTTTCACCCCGTTCCCGTCTCTCCCCCTTTGACGGAAGCGAGTAATGATGTCTCTGTTACTTCCTCATGTTCCCACACCGGATACCCATCGTTTATGACCCACGAGGATGCCATGTTGAAGGATGTTACAGCCACTCCCGTTGGAAGCCATGGTATCAATCTAGGAGACCCGTTGTTCCCCCTCACGCCGCCGCTCGCGGAACAGGACCCAAACAAGTAAGTCCCCGTTTGACTCCCATTTACGTATTGATCATGTCTTGGAATGATCCTAATCACCTATCCCCCTCAATAGAACCATTCGGGCTTCTAAGAATGCACGTAGACCAGCTCTTCACACCCCACCATCCCAGACCCAGGTGAAGCAGGACCCGGAGTTTTTCCCTCCCCTGCCAAAGGAGCCCGTCCGGCAGCGACCCACCAAGGAATCCACTGAACTGCGCAATCCCCGGGATC